ATGGAAATTATAATATTATAACATTACATAACCTTCCAACTGGAGATTTCGGCATACATTTATACAGTCGTTGGATACAACATAAACTAGTAAATATCACAAATTTAAATAAGTAAATTATGAATCATTAAAGACTTTTTAGATTGACCTTGCTTTGATGTCTATATTTTATACCATAGAACTTTGTTATTAACTTTAAAAATTTCTTATTAATTGCTAACGAAATTAAACTAACTACAATACATGGATTAATAAAGTTACATAAAAGTAACGCTCCACTTAGTTCCATCATCATTAATACCAACGGGAAAACTAAAAAATTTGGATTAATATCTCAATTCCACACTCAATATAACCTAAAATCAGATAGTAACAATGATAAAAAAATTCAATGAGGTGGATCGAATGCTTGAAAGAATATATAAAATAGACAACAGGTGAATATTGTTTGATCTGGTTTGATGTAGAAAATTGATTTACCAATATAAACTGGAAAGATATAATCAAAATAATTGAAAAATTCCGGGATACAATAGAACAGCATACTTAAATTAAAGAGTTTTATAAAAGATATGGATTAAAAAATCTCAGAAGTTAAAAAGCTCTAGTTAAGTTCTTAAAGCTCATCGATGGGATCGGAAATCCATATGAACGGTACTGAACTCAGCAGTTCAAATCATCGACAGAATTCAGCATGTTACTCAGTTCATCGATTGAATAACTGATTGCTCCAAAGTTCCATCGGTTATTGGGAAATATTGTTCCACCGAATATAGCTTCATTTTTTTAAATTCGCTAAAATAATATTTTTTGTTAGATAAGCTGACCTGATATGTGTATATATTTTTTTCTTAATAATGGGACAGGAAAAAATAAATATTTGTATTATAATTCATATGTATAACATTTTTAAGTGTGTTACTTCAATAAATAATATAAATACTGTTTAAGGTCGGCCAATCAGACTGCAGAATTCTTATTATCATTATGGCATTTGTTACAGCACAACAGTGTACCTATTCTGTATCTGTGTTGATTAGTCTCGCAAAGGTGCGGTTTGTTCTATATTGGTTCATAATTATAATCATCTAAAAAGTGTTTTAAATGTGATATGGGTTATTAAAGACTAAATTAGTTTGTCATTTAAATCCCTTTCGAGGTCTGCCTGGTTTAAGGAACATGGCGGAAGAACTTCTATTACAAAAGTGTGTCATTTCAAAGGAAACGGTGAAGAACCTTCCGACATTAGCGGTTTTGAAAAAACGAAAAATTACATTTTTATTATCGACTTAGTTTTGATTATCGACAGAAGAACTATGCTAGAAACCTTCGCTAGGATGTACGCAACAACTTCCCAAAGTTTCATGGCGGTCTTTACTTTCACTTACCTATACCTGAAATATATAGTAAGGTGTCTAGTATTGCGATCCTGAAAATTATAGTGTACTTATAGTATACAACCACTAAATGTACAATATAATGTAAACACGTGTCAAGAAAAAAATATCCCTAAAAGCATTATTCTTCCTTGACAGGCTTTCAAATACCACTTTAACATCAATTTATATAATTTCTTTTTTTTCAGAATATTTAAATCGATAATAGACAGGTTTATTTTCTTTGTCAGCATTTCGGGAACATAAGGCTATGTGGTCGGCATTTTTCCAAATTATAACCAAACATTTATGCTCTGCCTCTTGAATAGATTTTTACTTATTTGTATTACAGCGGCCAAATGTTAACTGATCGCTACTCATTTTAATAGTGTTTTAAAAAACAATAATTAAGATACATTTTGCCCTCACCCAATGAAGTATTCGATTAAGTCGATCCTGACAAACCGAAAATTTCATAAAATCGATTTTGGGGCTACAGGTGTTTGGCCAGTCATATCGATTTGACTAACGTCGAAAAGAAATCTTTTTTTCTTCAATGTAACCTCTCTTTTTATAAGTTCAATTTTTACCATATTCATAACAATTAGCTACATTAATTTTAATTGTCAAAAAGAATTTCATGAGATTGATACTAAATTATTTCTATAATATTCCTCAAATTCACTCCAACTTTGTGCGAAATCGAACGGGACGTTTTTAAGACTTGGGCATGTTTCAGAAAATCCATTTTTGCTTGGGACCAGCTAGAACCTAGAATCTAGGTCCTAGATTTCAGGTACACAAAACCGCTACAAATGGTCCATGGTCTTCCACGTCACACTGAGTTGCCAACTGGAAGACTTACACTCGACTATAAAAAAAAGTTAATTCAACAAATAAGCTTTCCAGGATTCTTGCACCGCTATTGATATGTAAAAACGTCAGCTCTGTAACTTTCATATTCGTACGTTATTATCCTTGCCCATGCCAAAAATTTGACGATGGCGAAAACTTAACTTGTCTTTTCAAATATGCTCACCTGAAAAGCAGTGTATTATTAAAATCGTACTTTTTAGAAAATGCCAATAAAATCCTTAGATTTTTCATTTTATTACTATTTTCAATAATTTTATCACAGAAACGTGAAATAAAACAAAACTACCAGGTAATCTGTGACAAAATATTCAGTAAATTAAGAAAAATTAAAACAGTAAACAAGAAAAAACAAATAAAAACAAAACAGTAAAACGGAACTGGTGGAAACCTTTCTAATATTTTGGGGTTGTAAAGTAATATCTAAAATACATATTGAGGTCAATAATTGTCGGTTTTTTAATAAATAATTAACATTGGAATGTTAAGGATGTGGGATTAACAAAAATAGAAATAATTGTTTTCTGCTTTTGATTCTTTCCCATATTTTCCAGAACTAGTAAACAACCTGAATCATGAATTAGGGAACCGGAGTAAAAGATATTGTACAAGTGAATTGTCCATATTAACCCATACTTATCTGAAAGGGATAATTTTTGACTATTTGGATTTAATAATTTAACTTGGAAAAATGTTTTATATATTTATACCCTTTTCTCTATTAAACAGTTAAATGAACTTACAAGGAGAAGATACAGTCTGTGGGTCAGAGGTTTTAACCAAATATTTTTTTGATGATACCATATCGAAAAATATTTTTTTTGGTGATACCACATCGAAAAATATTTTTTTGGTGATACAACATCGAAAAATCTTTTTTTGGTGAAACCACATCGAAAAATATTTGACACATATCCCGCCGTCCTTTCCAATGGGCAATAATAGCCGAGAAAAAAAAATTATATTATTTCGAACGAAATTTATATATATATACACACATCAATACTATGTATATTATTATTTTTGTGCAAAATAAAAAAAAATAACAATTGTATTAAATGAGTTATAATGTATTACGTATACATTACGAAAACAAAAAGGCGCTTCAAGTGAAGTGGGCTAAATAAACTTTTGTTATAAAAATGCAGGTTATAGATTCGTTTGTAGTTTCTTTTGGTACTCTTATATACGAATGTTTATAGAAATCAAAACTAGCTAAATGTAATACTTGATTTTCTTAAAGAATTTATTTCCGACTGATAACAAATTAAAACAAAATATATTAAATAAAAACGGATTCAAAGTTTTTCCCCATATTTAGCTTGAAAAAAAAAATGAAATCCAAAAGTTGTAGGCGTCAGTTGGAAGAGTATTAATCCAGCTTTCCAACGGTTGGTTATATCAAAGTTGAATTGGAACGAAATCGAATACTGAAGGTTATATATTTTTATTTATGTAGCAATTCATATGTAAGAGTATCAAAGGGCCCTAAAAAGGAATCGAATTTGTTTTTCCATAACAAAAATTTACTTTAGTGGTCTTCGTCTACTTTAGTGAAAGCACCATTCGGTTTTTGCAATTTGTGATAGATTATAACTCATTTAATACAATATCAATATTTTGTTGTTGTTCTGTACAAGAAAAGTAAACGATATGTAGTGAACTAAAAATTCGGGCAAAGCAAAGACAAAAATAAATAAAATAAATTTGATTGACCCGGCACCACAAATAAAATAAATAGCCAGACGCCGTACAGGTTTCAACAATGACCTGAGGAAGACCTACAACGTGGGTAGAAACGTTGGACAATGTAATAAAGCATAATATTGTATTATATAGGCTGTCCCAAAATTAAAGAAAGATTTAAATTAAATTCAAAATACACAGTTCTTTGTTCTTTTGTTTCCTTTTTCTTTGTCAATTTAACAGCTGATAGTTTAGGCTTAATAAAAATGTATAGTTGAACGAGCAAATAATGTTTTTTCATCGTTGAAAAAATATTTTTAAAATGATGAAAGTCTTGTGGCAACAGTTGGAAAATTTCGTACAAAATAAGGTAGGAATAGTGATTTAACTTTATCAACTGTGAAGGTGAGTAGTTGAGGAAGTGAAGCAGGCCGGATCAATTGGTGATGTTAAACAGTCTGTGATGTTGACCAATATTTTAAAAACAATGACAGTCTTGCGGCCACTCGTCTTGCGGCCCCTCGTCTTGCGGCCACTTGTCTTGCTTCGATATTGACACTTCAGCGGCTTGTTTTTGGACCAACAGTGTTTCTTAACAAGACCAATTGATCCGGCCTGCTTCACTTTCTCAACCGTTCTCTTCACAGTTGATAAAGTTAAATCACTATTCCGATTATATTTTATACGAAATTTTGGAACTGCTTCATTATCAGTTCAAGACTTTCATTATTTTAAAAGTATTTTTCGAAGATGAAAACACATTATTCACTCGTATAACGCTCTATGTTTATTAAGCCTAAACTATCAGCTGTTAAACTGACAAAGAATAAAGGAAACAAAAGAACTGTGTTTTGTATTAAATTTGGGGACGCCCTTTATAATAAAGTATTTTTTGGCCTCACCCCCACTAACTTCTAAAATAACTTTTGTTTGAAATAATATAAAATATTTCTTCCTGGGCTGCTGGAGCCTATCGGAAAGAACGGCGAAGCACGTGCACAATATTTCGGACGTGGTATCACTTCCATCTCCAGACAATGCAGACAATGCTACCTCCGCTGGTTTATGACGACCCGAACTGCAATAACGACCTGCAGGACAGGTCAAGGGGACGCTATGGAGATGTTATACGACAGGTCACAGAGCACAGGTAACAGGTAATACCCTCTGACGACATGCCGACACCCTTAAGGGGATGCATAATAAAATATGACAATAAAAATATCTGCCTTATGACCCATCTGTGTGCCGCCATTAGGTCATTAGTCAGCTGGTTTACATAAGTAAATATGCTTACACTTTACAGGCATAATTAATTAATTTCACGTCCTATACCATAAATTGTAGATGGTTCTAAAATTTAAATAAGAAGTGTGGAATATAAAAATATATAAATAATTAAGTAAGCTATATTTACAGTGTTTAATTGAAAAGAGGGGTGGTTGGGGTGATCGGTAAAAATGAAGTTTTTTCTTAGCCCGGGCGAAGGCCTGGAATTTGGGCCAAAAAGTCTGCAAAAATAAAAATAAATATAATTATTTATTTTTACTGTTTTTTTTTTTACCGATCACCCCAACCTTTTTTCTCTTCAATTATATAACTGTAGTTGTGTACAAACTACTTTTTGTTCTATACTCACAAAATAATAACATGTACAATATAAACAATTACAATTGTGTATACGTTATTGTAGTAAAATTGGCTCTAGTAAACTGAATGATCATCATGTGTATCATATTATAAAAATGATGGAATCGGTTGATGATAACTAAAATATTTAATGAATGCTGTTCATTGAAACTATTTAATAAATATCTGCGAAAAACTCCGTCATTTTTTAAATATAATTTGTGTAAAGGTGGTCAGTAATTTGTCGAAATCCTATCGAATAGAAATACAACACTTCTTATTTCTTATTTTATGACCAATTAAAAAAGATCTATATTAACTTCCGGAAATCAGTTTCCGATTTCTTCATGTTATTAAAATTGTAAGATAGTTTAGTCGAAACGTTCAAAACAATCGTCCTTATTTATTTATTTTTTTGGCGCTATTATCGTTTCCTCTTTCGGGCTCTCTCTGACCTGGCGATATTCTCACTCTCTGTACAGATATTATAAATTATCCAAATAGAAATATTATTAAAATGACTTTATTAAAAAATGTTGAATTAGGAGTTATTCATTCTGTCAATTGAAATGCTTATATATTTCAATCGGCTATTGCATAATGACGTACGAGATATTTTCATAATTAAAAAAAAAAAAAAAAAAAAAAACGAAAATTTATATTGTACTAAAATTTAAAGTGGGAAAAAATCTAAAAATAATTATAATGTAAACAACCCAATTTCCTATTATTTATCTCAGGTTTTAGAAATATATACAATATATATATATATATATATATATATATATATATCATTACATGATTAGAACATTTTTTGAAACTTTTACTCTGGTGTTGTTTTGGAAAAAAAAAAAAAAAACCATGTCTGTGTGCTATTTCTATTTTTTCCTTAAATTATGACCACTTGGAAATTGAATTAAAAGTAGAGTATTGCTTCAGAATAAAATAATCCTTATTATTTAAAAACGATGAAATCATTTCTTAAAAAAACAACATAGTATGAAATATTTTTATTTGATTCGGCTTTTCGATTCCACCTTTCCATCATACGAAAAATTTCAAATTTTAGAGTAGTTTGTATTAATTTTATTTGTAGAGTCGAAATGTAAGGAAATTTGGAATTTTGAAAGATGGAAATTCCATTACATTTTTGGATTGAAAATTATGTTGTTATATGCATATTCTACATATGAATTAAACATTATATACCAAAGTCGAGGATTGTTATCTTATTTTGATGACAAACATTTATTATTGAAATAATGAAATAAAACATCAAAGAACATGTGGTGAACATGAATATCGATAACATATAGCCCAATCGATTCTAAAACCGTCCGAGTCGATTCCTTTTACATCAGCTACAAAAAACTACCTAAATTTATTACTACCTTACAATCAATATCAAATTTTAAACCAAAAAGTCTTTAATAAACATTTATGACGATACGAAAATTTATTCTGGAATTATTAAGTTTTAACTGCAAAGATCAATATTCAAAATTATATTGATAAGTGGTACCATGCAAATATAAGTTGACTGCTTCAAGATACTGCACAAATATAAGTTGACTGCTTCAAGATACTGCACAAATATAAGTTGACTGCTTCAAGATACTGCACAAATATAAGTTGACTGCTTCAAGATCCTGCACAAATATAAGTTGACTGCTTCAAGATCCTGCACAAATATAAGTTGACTGCTTCAAGATACTGCACAAACAAATATAAGTTGACTGCTTCAAGATACTGCACAAACAGTCTAAGAATAAGTATCAAAGTATCCATACTAGAATCAATTGTAACTTTGAAGATGTGTTTCTAAAAATTATATTAAATGCAGTAAGAACCTTTTCGAACCTAAGCTACGAATCGTAGGTGAAATTCGAATAAAATTCATTCTCATTGTGTTCATTAAGAAAAGTGGGTGAGAAATTATGAAAAACTGACAAGTAATACTTTATTTGCTTATTTCATGTTTAGCAACTGATTCCTTTAATCAATGATTGGCAGAGATATATTATTATATGTTTTGCAAATGGTAGATGATAGATAAAAATATATCGATATATATATGGTAGATGATACATAGATATATATCGACAGCCGGGACTAGAGCTGTCATCAAGCAGGAGAGGAGTTAACAAACATATGATACTCAATCTGTAGAAGATTGATGGACTGTGTAACCGGTTTAGGCCTCGGCTAGCTGATAACAGATAAATAATACATTAATCTATTATCTACCCCTCCAATGTGGTATCCCCGGGTAAAGTATTGTGCCAGCTATACACTCCGTTAACAAGTGAGTAATAAGTAACGATTTAACACTCAACTCTTCCCTAATTCCATCTCATTAGGGAGTTATCATCTTTTGAGCTGGGGATCGGCGGGTTAATATTTCCATGCAGACTTATTTAAACACAATTTTGCAAAGTCTCGTTTTGCATAACATGCGCTGGCAATAAATTCCTTACCGAAACAGTAATATTAAAACTTAGGTTAAAAAAAAATATATATATGAAAGATAAGTCCAATAAGATAAGGTGAGCCATAACTGCAAAAACAGGATAAAATCCATTCTATTTATTTAGATTGCTACCTTTTCTTTTAACAACTATATATGGACCGTTTATTTTGAAAGTGGTGTAAGTCCATTTTATCTTCTTTCGAGATATTTAAAGCTTAGCATGTCTGTTAATTAATAAATTGATATAATTAGCTTAATTATATAAACTCTGCCAATGTTTATAATGATTTATCAATATGTAATTTGATTATATACATTTGTTTTAGGCGAATTTTAATAAAATAATGTATATTTACGAGCTGCAAATGGACTTACATCATTTTCAAAATGAGTCACGTGTCAAAATCGTTTAATTTTAATTTGGGAAAATCATATATCACTTAAAATCTATTTCATATTAATCCAATTTCGCTTACAAATAATAACAAAATAAAAAATATACGTTGTATTTTTAATTTTAAACCTTAATTACATTGTTAAAATTAACATAAGCTATTGCTAGTATTTACTTACGCTCTTCACGTGGCAGTGTTTTAAATATTCGTGACGCACAGGAAGCATGCAGGATGATAACTGCTTCATATATTTATATTTTACGTAAGCAATAGGCCTCCTGCCATCCTGATACAAAGGCGTCGGGTCGATGTTTTAACTATGTAACTATATAATACTTATATTTACTAATTATTTCTGAGTTATTCATTTAGCTTTTTTACTTTCCTACCTATACTAGGTAAGGAAAGTATTGCAATCGGGTCGAATTTCCGATATGCAGTTTTCGACGGATCTATACGTTTCAGAGTCCCCTGAGTCCGAAAAACACACTTTTAGCCATTGGTCTGTCTGTCTGTGCCAAGATTTTCTCGGGAACTACTGAATCGATTTTGTAGCTTCTTTTTTTATTTTGTAAGATTTTGACTAACGGTGCCTGTGACAGAAATTCGGTGCTCCATGCGCAATAGCTTGCTAGCAATAAATGAAAAACACGTTTTTCTATAGAATATGGCGCAAAAACGGCTCTAATGATTTTGATAAAACTTCCTTATAATGTTCTAATCATTGTCCTTTCAATTTTCGTATATGGACTAAATTCCCTAGAAAATACAGGAATAAAAGGTATAAAGAAAAGAAAAATGTTATGGTTCCTAACTCCCTAAGTATATATTGTTCGGCAAAATTCATAATAAAACTTTTGAAAGGTAATTAAATTACCAAAAAAACAAACAAAAAAATCATCGGAATCGAACCAGCCGTTTAGCCTGTAATGAAATGTAGGTAATGAAATTCCCTACAATATAAAAATCGTTCAATTTGGACAACTAATAACGAAGTTATAGCTATTCAATTTCCAATGTAAGATTACGGGTTTATGTACTGGTGTCAGAAAGGGGAGAATGAGAGAAAAAATATAACTTAGTGAAAGTAAGAAAATCTGTTGCCCGCATCACACACAGCTTCACTATTTTCTATACTTTTAACAGAAATTATTGTTGACAATACTAAGCTATGGCAAAAAGTTTTTGATCAGCAATAATAGAGAGTAATGAAATTTTTACACTGATCTACGTTTACATTTTACATTACGTTTTACGTAATGATCTAAGCCGGTTTACATTGCTTTAATTTATCAAATAAATCGTACTAAAATCTTTTCTTTGATCAATTTTCAGGAAATCTAGTTCAATTTTTTTTTTTTTTTTCATGAACGTATGTAAAGATTTAAAAACTTTTCTGAAATAGGTAGGAAAGTCGTGTGAGTGGACACGCCACATGTTTTTTGTTCAAGTCTTTTCGTATTTGGATTTTTGTAAGATCTTAAACTAATAAAAAGATAAGTCCATATTAGAAAACCCAACAGTCCTTTTTAAAATCTTAAGGCGTGTGTATCTTTCGGATTACAATATTTTGAAGCAATCTAAGAGAACATTACTACAAACAAGAAAAAAAAATTCAGCGACAATATTTTTTATTTTTAAACTTAATTTCATGATAATTTGAGGAATGCATTTACGCAGATATTGCTCGATATACCTTACAAAAGAGAATTATACAGATTAGTGCCAATTTCTTCTTTACAATGAAATTATATAAACAATATGGCTTCCGATTCTTTCTATTCTGTGATTTAATTGAAGTAATTTTGCGCTTACTTCAAATGTGTTGACCAATTTTGAGTGAACAACATTTTTGCTAAGTTCAAAGCTACCTCTTTGTTCATCGAGATGTTTGCTAAGTTCAAAGCTACCTCTTTGTTCATTGAGATGTTTAGTAAGTTCATGGAAGTGGACTGGCAAATGCCGCATTTCCCTAAAGTGGACTAGAGTTTATCACCCTTGAACAATGGCCGAGAGCTTTCACCTGACGAGGGTCCGGCAGTGTTCAGCTCAAGTCGGGCAGCTTTATTGCACCACTGCTTTAAATTTTCCATTTTAAAGTTAAATATTTCTGCAGGTAAAGAATACTGCATTTGTTATGGGAAGCGAATGTTCCAGAAGTTTGAGCTGTTTGTTACCATATGTCAAATCCAGATGTTAATATATAATGTCACATTATTTTTTCAGAGCCAGCCAATTTTTCATTTGCCAATTAGAGCTATTAAAATTTGTTTCTTCGTTACCAAATTATTTAATGAAAAAATAGACATTGTTTCCTTTACCTCCGGGGCACAGACTTGAAATTTAAAAAATTGAAATTCTAAGTTAAAAATCAATGCTGTATATATATATGTATATATTAATTAAGTTTAATATTGTTTAAAATTTGAATATTTCATCTCAGCCGCTTAATTTTTACATTTATGAAAACTTTCGAATAATAAACAATTACGGCTATCAGGGATTACTTTTGGAAAAATGGAGCCCTAAATTATAATTACAAACGAAATTCCCAGAAACAGCTATATGTCCCTTTAGTATGTAAAAATTCAATTCTATCTTATATAATACTTAATGTATTACTTTAATATATATTATTTCCACTACACGAAATGTTGTACTCTATCAACTAAATCTAATTAGAAGTCTTGTCTTGTCTTGACCTCTTCGATTTCATTAAACTACATTATTGTATATATAGCCATCAACAAGAAAGTTGTATTTTTTAAAAACGAATTGGCGGAATTTACATATTTTTCTATTTTAGCTATTTAAAATTACAAACTAGTAAGTGGGAAAATTGAAAAAAAAAAAAGATATAGATTACAAACGTTACGTGGCTCTGACTCACTTTATCAGATATATCAAGACGATTAACATCATTTTAAATTGAATTGTTCTGGATGTATTTAAGGCTCGATTCCTTATTGATTGAGATAGCGGCATCTCAAAAATACCCAAAAAATATTTTCAAATATTGTTTAGAAAGGAATTAAACGTATTCTTAATTGATTGGTAGAAAAGCTTCAAAGATTCAACATCTTCAAAACATCCAACAACATTCAACATCTTCAAAACATCCAACAACATTCAACATCTTCAAAATAAGATAAGTCAAAAAATAAAGATAAAGACTGAGATATCTCTCAGAATGCTTATATTTTATCTTTTTATCTCATGTTGTAGGTCTCAGTTCATTTCAAGGGTCATTCTGTTTGATTTACTGTTGGTGCGATATTTGTTGTTTAGTTTAGAGCAAATATAAAACGTTTTGAACGTTTATTTCTGGAAGATGAAAAATATTTTCTTATGATCCTGGGTCTGTTGTCCCTTTAGCACAAATTATAGATACATGAAAGATGCCAGTGTGGCCATAGTTTAAATTAAATTTTCGATTGCGACTGATGTTGGACATTGGGACTATCTTCACTTTGAGGTGCACGCTAGTTAGCTATTGGTGGACACAGAACAGAACTTGCTCAAGTAATTGAATAAAAAAAACTGCCTTCCTTGTTTTGACTTGACGTTCTCACTCTTTCTTACGTCCTCGAGTATCCCTTCCGGCTTCATCAATAATATCCGATTGGTCAAATCTTCAGAGCAAACATCAATGCAGTTAAAATCTCGAAATTTGTCACTTAATAAAAAATTTAAATTATAGAAACTGTAGGAGAAAATCTTTAAAAAATGAATAGTGAAAAAGGAAAAATTATATCTCAAAACTTTAACTTCGTAATAGGAAAAAGTACAAGTTACGACACTCTTATAAAAAATACTCTTATAGTTCATCTTCAACAGCTTTTTCCTCAATTAAAAGACATATTAAATGATAGCAGAAACAACATTTCAGAAACAAATTTCGAAACGTGTAACATTGTAAATTTTAACTGAGTTAAAAAAAAATGTTTTCATTAAAATGTGGACAATTTGTAATTATGTACGTATTTTAAATATAATATTTTTAATTAAAATTAAATGCCTGAAATCAATTGATGTGATCTATATAACATGTTCTTATCCTCCATAGCTTTAATCTTTTTACGTTCCTCTACATTACTTCATTCCTTGTAGGTACGTGCCAGTCAATTAACCAATTTAAGGAAACTTTAAACAAATATATTTTATTGTTTGTCGGTTATAGTAAGTATTGAGAACTTTTTTGTATCTGTTTCGTGAATTATCTATTATTTATGTTAAATTAAAAACAAAATCTTTTTCTTCAAGATTTAGGTTAATCATAATTCATTATTGTATTGTCGTTAGTTGATTGTAATATGAATTTTAATTTTCAATGTGACACAATATTTTAATTCAGAAGCTTAAGATAAGGTTGAGAGGATTTCGACATATTAATATAATAAATTGAACAAAATAGATCATTTCTCCAAGTTATTAGCTGTAAATTAGACAATTTTACATGTTTTATGGGTTTAATGTTTACTTTGTATTAACATTGGAGTAAGAAAATTTTCTCACCTGCCCTATTTTCTCACCTTCGCTAGTGAATCTACATAGATATGAAATATTAACAAAAACTGAAAATGGTATGGGGCTGGAAGGTAGTGGAAGGGGGTATTTTCCCTAACTCAGGTATAAGGGCTATTTAAGCCCTGGCAAACAGTTGGAAATAGTACAGTATTCATTATGTCGCAGCCCATCAACATCAACTACGGCAAGGGCCAGAGCAGCCGGCGGTACAGGCCAGAGCCCGAGGAGGAGCGGCGCTTGCGGGCCGGGTACCATGTCCGTTCAGGTTCCTCCCCGCTCAGTACGAGCAGCTCCTGAAGGACAACCCCTGCAACCGGAGGGACTGCGACTCCAGCGGGAAGCACAAGATGACCTGCCAGCAATGCGGCGACGTCTCCTATCACGTCTGCATCTCCCTCCCCAGGGACGAGTCGAAGCCTCATAGGTGTTCACGCTGCTGGAAGAACAGGGCACCGCCACCGCCAGAGACCTGAGTCAACGGGACATCGCGAACAGGACGCCAGCAACGTGAGTCAACAGGGGATCATGGACAGGACACCGGATTTTAAATTGCATATTGACCTATTCACTTGTAATTGTTTTGTTACATTATTATTATTATTATTATTATTACTTTTCCAACAGTTGTAATATTTTATACTCAATAAATTTATTTTTTTTTAATAAATTAATTTATTTTTCTTGTTAAAAATCCCTATTCAAACATAGCAGACTCATATTTTACCTCGGCCTCGCCGAGTGATTCCAATAAAGTCTTTCAATCTGCCAAAGCAAAACATATTTATTAACACTTCATTATATTTCATAGTTTATTATATGCGATTCCACCATCACATATAACTATGTTATTATAAGATAAAGCATTATCTCAAGTTGCATACAGCAGGTATATGGTACGGTAAGGCCATGCAGTTTTCTAAATAGAAATGTTTCTAATTAGAAATAATTTAGATTCTTATTCATGAAGTGCTTACGAATTCAGACAAGTAAAATCTTTTTTTAATATATATTCATTTCAATGTCAACTATCATTAAAGAACAAAAGCTTCCATGTTGAAACTAAATTTTGACAATTCAAAATTCATATTGTTTTAAAATTACAAAATATAACTCGAAAATCATGATTTTTGAGCTATCAATTTTGAGCAGCAATAGCAACAAAGTGCATGTTTAATTTGAACTGCACGGTATCGGTACCATTTCTTAGCCCCAAAGCCTTGAGGATGGCGTCATATTTATTTTCGAATTATAATTTCAATTTATTAATTTGAAATTTTATATTTATAAAAAATAAAAGAACCAATTTTAAATTAAGAATATAACTTGTGAAGAAAATACGCTTCAGTAACACTTCAACTGTATAACTAATTTATAACTTATATGTAATTTAAAACTTTGGATACATCACTTGGAAAATCATCAATTTTAAGATGTAAAGCTCTAGCAGCAAATGGCAGTAATATAAATATAAAACAACATAGCAGCAAATATAAATGATTATGGATTGTACGCCTATAAGTTATTAAACAGTTATTTTCCATTGTAAAATTTACGAGATTTCTCCATAGACAGATCAAATGTTTTTACACAAATTTTAAGCGGAGAATGTTTGAATTTCACAAAGGGGAAATTCATCAAATTATTCACTAATTATATTTTTTTAAAAGGTTACATGACGATTTTTTGGAATAAACGGGCGTTAATATATAATTACTTAATTAAATATTTAGATCTATAACTATTAAACTACAGTAAATATATTTAAGGTTACAAACATATGCTTTATACATCCATGAAATATTTTTATATTTCATTTCTTCTTTCACATAAATACTATGAGATAGTTTTTAAACATGCCACTGTTTTGATTAGGTGGATTTTAAATACTTTTTTCAAAATTAAAAGAAGTTTACATTCGGTTAGTAAAGTTTATTTGATTTACTTGAAAACAGGTGTCTTCCGTTAAATAATATCAGTGTTAACAAATTATTATTTATAATGTTTCGTCACTCCCCATTACTTTCTTCGACTTTCTATATTATATATTGTTCTTTTTTCTAACATATTGCACTTTTCAAATATATATTATACGTATAACTTCTGACTAGGATTTCCGGAAATTCATTTTAAACCTAAATAAACATTTTTCCCCTTTTTCAATTATCAAATTCTTTAAAAGTTATATTTAGCATCTTTTTGTAACTCTTAATAATGAAAAATGGTTAATTATCTAAAATAAACCAAATCAAAGGTACTTTAGAGTTGACCATTTAAGCGTTTAAGCCCTATAAAATAACATCAATGGAGATAAGACTTCAATGATATTAAAGGCCACTTGATTATGTGGATCCACGGTGGGTTTTGGCTTTCTATATTGTATAAAGGTAAGTTCCTAAGGGATCGAGCTGCTGAATAAATTCTTTCTGACAGTGGGAGTGCAGAATTTGTTTTGCTTCTAAAAGCGTTTGAAAATTTAGGTTTAAAAATGTAGTTATGGGTCGGATGTTGATTTTGAGGAAGTAGCCTTGAAATGTAGTTAACAGCGAGTTTTTTATTTCTATATAGTAAGGAAAATTATTGCGAATTTGAATTCGAGTTTTCAACAAAAATGCATGTTTGGAAGTTGGTAAGTATCGCAGAAAGTTAACTGTGACTCTGAAGAGCTTAGCTCAAAAATGAAAAGTCGTTCGAAACTGACATTACATATTTAAGTTATGTATACGCCTGAGATATTACAAGTAACTTTTCCTTCAAAAGCGTTTAACTGGAAATGTTACTTTATCATACAGATTTTACACATCGTTAGAATTATCTTGAAAGAAGCTAATTAATATAATTATTTGGTATAAAATCGTTACACTGATGTAAAATGGAAAGGTCTTCCAAATCAGTTAGGCCTTATCCTCATAGAAATGATCTGAAAGGCTTTATACCTGGGTTATTTGGGTTCGAAATGACCAATATTTTAAAATTTATTTGTTGAAATTACTTTCACTTTTGTTTATTAGACAAAATTGAAGATCTCACATTGTTGTTGATAATACTAAACCGAAAGACAGGAACTATATGAGATTTTGATAATTAACTAAACGAGAAAATGAGAGAAATATTTTCAGGGATTGAAACTAAATTTCGGAAAATAAGCGTACATGGTAAGTATTGAGCCTGAATATAGAGCCTTGCTAAATTAAAGATTTTAGAAAAATGAATATTTAAAATAACATGTGGTGGGAGGTAATTAAAGGTAATCGAAGGGAACGCTGTCTTTTAATTGTTGTAATTAATATTGTATACTTTTAATTGTTGTAATTAATATTGAATACTTTTAATCGTTGTAATTAATATTGTATTGTGTTTAGTTAATTTAAACACAAGGATATTCATAAATATACTTGGACATCACCGGATTCGCAAACACGAAATCAAATCGATCATGTCTTGATACAACATAGCTGGCAAAGCAGTATAATTAATGTACGGTCTTATCGCGGAGCAGAATGTGGGTCGGATCATGAATTAGTAATCGCGAAACTTCGACAAAAACTTAATATAAAAAGAGAAAAGAAAACCGTTTCGATTTTGAGAATTATAATTTGGAAAAATTAAAAAACCCATCAATTAAAAACCAATTCGAGCTAGATGTTAAGAATAGGTTTGAAGCTTTAGAGCTTCCTGACGAGGACCACGAGGATATTGACAAGTTATGGATAGAGATCAGGGATAATATTAAAGCGGTCGATAACTCGTGTCTAGGAAAAAAGGAAAATAAGAATAACAAACCGTGGTTTGATGAAGATTGCTTAAACATGTGCGAAAAAGGAAAAACCGCTAAATTAAAAGCTCTAAATAATCCTAGCGAAGACAATCTGGAATACTTCCGAATCTCAAAGAACGAAACGACAAAATTGCTCAAAAAAAAAAAAGGGAGTATCTTAAAAATAAAATAATTGAAATAGAAACTAATAGAATCGAAAATAACCTAAGAGACATGTACAAAGGTATAAACAGATCACGTAAATATGTAGGGCCCGTAACGTCTGGAATTAGGGATGATAATAACAATATTCTGACCGATCCGGTTGACATATTGAATAAGTTTAAGGACCACTTTGACAATATTTTAAATACGGGAAATTATGATCTGTGTCCTCCTTCTGAGTACCAGAGTGCTGAACCATTAATAGAAGGACCAAGTAAAGAGGAAGTTGAAGTAGCTATCGGAAAATTAAAATCATATAAAGCAGCGGGAATCGATAATATTCCTACTGAACTAATTAAGGCATGCGGGGAAGCTGGAGTTTCTAAAATACATCGGTTGGTTAAAAAGATCTGGGTGAACGAGAAATTACCTGAAGAATGGAAAGAATCTATTCTTATTCCGATTCACAAAAAGGGTCCGAGGACGGATTGTAATAACTATCGAGGAATTTCACTCCTTCCGGTATGTTATAAAATATTCACTTCAATCTTAACCAGTCAAATCACGGAATACGCCGAGGAAATTATCGGAGACTACCAATGCGGATTTAGACGTAATCGTTCGACAATTGATCAAATATTTTCTTTACGGCAAATATTAGAGAAAAAATTGGAGTATAACGGTATTGTTCACCAGCTGTATATAGATTTTAAAAAGGCTTACGATTTTATTGACTGCCAGAAACTGTATAATATTCTAATCGAGCAGGGGATTCCAAAAAAACTAGTAAATCTAGTCAGGATGTGCTTGACGGAGACACTCAATAAAGTTAGAATCGGTAATAATTTGTCCGAAAAATTTGAGGTTCGTTCGGGCTTAAAACAGGGGGATTCTCTTTCGCCTGTCCTGTTCAATTTGGCATTAGAACATGCCATTAGGGAGGTAATGCGAACCGAGAAAGGCTTGGATCTGGGTGGGACAACATCCATGCTGGGCTATGCTGATGATCTGGTACTGTTAAGCGAAGACGTTAAAACTATAAAACTAAATACGACAACTTTAATGAAAGCCGGTAAAGAACTAGGACTTGAAATAAACGTGGATAAAACAAAATATATGGTTAGCTGCAAAAATGGCGATGCTACTGGTGATATCGATATAGATGGTAATATGTTTGAACAGGTAGATAAATTTAGATAAAACGAAATTGAAGAAGAGATTAAGGTTAGACTGAAGGCGGGGAATGCTTGTTATTTTTCTGTGACAAAACTACTTAGTTCGCGCCTCTTGTCCCGAAACTTAAAAATTAGAATCTATAAAACAATTATCTTGCCTACAGTTCTTTATGGATGCGAAACTTGGCCGCTTACATTAAGGGATGAGTAGCGTTTTAAGGTTTTTGAAAATAAAGTATTGCGTAGAATATTCGGACCGAAGAAGGATGAGTTAACCGGAGAGTTCAGACGGTTACACAACGCCGAATCGCGTGAGCTGTATCCGGGTAAATAATTGAGGTAATTTCATCACGGCGAATCAAATGGGCTTGTAAAGTTGTTGGGCGGGTAGACCGAAGCGAAGGTGGGAAGATTACATTAAAGCCGATCTGAAGGGACTGGGTTTGGACGGCGAACGGTGGAGGG